AATGTATGATAAAGGAGTTAGGTTTAGTTTTACAAGCAGCTTGATTAATTCAATTAAGCAGAGAGGTGGGGATTCTGTAGCCAGGGTCGTTTCTATTTTGAGACTGTGTTTGTCTCTTTGTCACTTTACTTTGTACTTGTCACTCCTAGCCAACTTACATTTAAGATTACTTTAATGAGTGTAGGCTATTAGCTTCTTCATCGAAATGCTGACACCTTCTGAATGTTGGTTGAACTCTTTAAAAGGGAGGACCCAGCATCCATAAAATGGTCATTGTCCTTCAAATAGCATTAGTATTTATGATTATCCTTTAGATGGTCTGCACCGACTCCTCTATCCTCACTCTCCGTGCCAAGGCGGGGATGGTAAGTAATGAGGCTAATCAATGTTGCAGGGTTGATACAAACATGGGCTTCCAGATGAAAAAATTTGAGTTTGGGTCCCGACTGTCCTACTTACAAGCTGTTGATCCCATGAGTTCTTTCACTTCTCTAAACCTTTCATTATAATCCTTAGAAATCCCATTTGCGCTGTGCCAAGTACATAGTAAACCCTGAAGGACCTGTTACTATTATTATAATTCTAATAATAAACCTTGGAAGTTATTCTCAAGAAGTTCATAAAGTATTAGAAGCTGGACAGAGGCTTAGAGGTCATTTCTTGAAACACTCTCCCTTTGCAGACTATGAGGACCAGGGGAGTAAAGTTAGAGAGCAGAGCTAAGACTAGGGCACAGGACTCTTTTCCATTTAACCATGAAGCTCTCAGAACTGATGGGAGAGGGCAAATAATACTCAGCTTACTTTGATGAATGGTGGAGAGAAAGGACAAGTGACGACCAAGAGAACATTGGCTCTGGGTGGCCTGAGGCCCTGGGAAGGCCCATGGTGGTTTTCAAATGAAGTTTGTTCAAGAGGAAGGGGAAAGACAGGCAGGTGCTGCCAGTGGCCAGTGTCACTGGTCTCATTAGAGAAATTCACCAAGCAGATCGCTGATGGCATTAGATTTCCTGGCAGCTCTAGCTTTCCCCACCACCTGTCATGTCAAATTCTTTCATCTGAAGGGATCAGATCCACTATGCCTGGTGTGCTGGCGTTACCTTGGTTGCAAATCCATTCCCATAAACAATGGAGTTTATAACAGTCAGCCTGGAGCGTACAATACCAGGGTCAGCAAACTACAGCCTGTGGGCCAAATCCAACCTGCCACCTGTTTTTGTAAATAAAGTTTCATTGGCGCACAGCCACACCCATTCATTTATGTGTTCCCTATGGCTGCTTTTGTGCTATAATGGGAGAGTTGAGCAGTTGGAACAGAGACCCAATGATCTACAAATCCCAAAATATTTACTTTCTGTTTTTTGGGGGGTTTTTTTGGAGAAAAGATTTACCCACATCTGGTATAGATTTTTATCAGCTGCTTTGGAGACATAGGCCCCCTCTAGGCTATGAAAAGATCAACTGACTTCTTAGGGATATATTTATATCCTTGGCATAAATGACATTTCATTAATGCAACCGAAAAGAAATGTAGGCTTACATACAATCCTCTTACAATTCAAAGGCCACCTCTTCTTCAGTATATATGTGAAAGACAACTGAACATCTCCTCTAAGGGTGGCTCTAGTTCTGGCCTCCCTCTTATTCTAGAGCATGGAGCAGATAGAACCAGTTGAAGAGAAAGCAAGGCCATTCTTGCATTACTTGGATAGTTACAAAAGCCATCTCTTAAGGAATTTGTGTGCTATAAATCATACATTATTTTGTTTATTTACTATAATAATCTTACTAAGTAGTAAGATTGTCCCATTTTACCAAAGGGTAAACTAAGGTCACAGAGTGAGTGAGTGGTCAGGCAGAGATTTATAACCATTTGGCTCCATGTTGTCTGATGCACATAGGTGCAGTAAGTAATTCAGCTACCTGAATGCCTGACTGTTAAAAGTATGGTTGACAGTGGCTAAGATTCGTTCAATCCAGACAAGATAAAGATCTAAGTCATTATTTCCAGAAGTTTGCCCTGCAAAATACTAACTTGCAAGTACTCATGAAAATGATCCAATATATTTTAAAAACATTGTACATATTACCACCTTCTTGGGAACCTATGAAGCCATTAGCAAGTTGTGCACTCTGAGAAATTTCACAGTAAAGATCCTATTCAACTCTGCTCAACATAATGTTTCTCAAACACTTTATCATGGAACCCTTTAAATAATAACATCCCATAAAACTAGATTTCCAAGGAACACACGTTTGGAACTGTTGAACTAGATCATTGATGATGATGATGATGATGATGATGATGATGATGATGATGATTAATGAGTAATAGTTATTAATCAATTATAATGAACCAGGCACTGGCCCAAGCATCTATATGTATTAATTCATTTGACACTCACAGCAAACCTATGAGATCAGTACTGTTATTTTCCTCCCACTTGGCAAATGATGAAGTCGAGGCACAAAGAGAATAAACAACTTTCCCAAAAGCACACAGCTAGTAACTTGTGGAAGCTATGAGCTCTTCCAACACAGGGATCAGCTATCAGTTCATCTTTGCATAGCCTCCACTTAGCATGGTGCCTGGCACAAAGTATGCACCCAGGAAATGACAGTTGTACTGAATTTGAGATAAGATCTTAATAAAAAGGAGAAGCAACTAGAGTGTGTTGAATAGAACACTTAAGATCTTTAAATGGTATTTACACAACCAGGGCGCTCCCTCATCCACTGGAGTTTCTCTTTGTTCCAGACAACACTGTACCCTAGATAATGTCCCTACTATAAGCCATTTGTATAGCATAACCATTTTCCCATTTTATTTAATGGACCCTACTTTAGGTTAATGCACAAATAGGAAAATATCAGATAGTGCAGATCCTCTTTAACCACAAGAAATAATATTTTATTTGAAGGTGCATTAAATTAGGGTTTTTGTGTGGCATGAAATATATTGAGAGAGGCAATACCACATCCGTAAGGAACCACTCATGGTAGAGTGGATGGACTTTTTTAAATGCAGTATAATAACAGCTATTGAGAGCAGTCAATAGCAACTTTTTTAAATGTTACAAAGCTAAAAATATATCAAGGTCAAAATTATTAGATAAAACACTGGTGAATTTTCAGTGTCGATTTGAGGGAAGCACTAAAGAAGAAAAATCAACACACTTTCAGCTTTAAAAGGAAGAGAAGCAAAGGCAGCCTGAAAGGGCACTGTTTTTGTGTCCTACAAAATAAAAAGGATATTTATGTTTAGTGCCTTGGGAGCTTCAAGTGCAGTAATCAAATTTCATGACTCTCATCACTTTAACATAGAGCATTCCTAAATAATTATCATAACGGTTGACACTTAATGAGGGCTTATTTTGCTATTTTAAGCATCTTGTATGAATAGCCCTAGGTGGTGAGTACCATTATTATCCCCATTTTATAGATGTGGAAATGGAGGCACAGAGGTAAAGTTGTTTTCCCTTGATCCCACACCCATACAAAATGGCTTAGGGATTCAAACCCCAGTAATCTGGCTTCAGAGCCCATGCCATTAACAGCCGTGCACACTGGGTGAAGAGAAGGTTCAAAGGCCCAAGGAGGCCACAGATCTGGGAGGTAAAATAAATGTCACTACCAATGTCAGGCTATGCCACAGACTCATTAGGTGGACACCAGAGGGCCAAGTGTGGCCATGTGAAGTTGACTCCTTCCTTGCCAATACACTCTTCCTTGGTGGTTTGTTCTATGACACGTTTCCAGAGGTTGTTGTAGATGTTGCCACTTAAGAGGTCCATCCATTTAAGGCTATGCATTAATCACCACAGGTAAAGATCTGTCCCTTCACGCACCTCTACCACCAGTGTGCACCAGGATTTCTTACCCCACAACCTGGCCACACGCACACCCCTCCGAAGTAACACCACTCGCCTATGAGTATGTTTCTGCTGTGATGGTCATCAGACCCAAAATATTCAGGAACTGTCACATGCTCTGCAGTCTTCAAAAAAAGTCCAGAAAAGCCCTAGCTGGTTTGGCTCAGTGGATAGAGCGTCTGTCTGTGGACTGAAGGGTCCCAGGTTTGATTCCAGTCAGGGCACATGCCCAGGTTGCGGGCTCCACCACCAGTGTGGGGCGTGCAGGAGGCAGCCGATCCATGATTCGCTCTCATCATTGATGTTTCTATCTCTCTCTCCCTCTCCCTTCCTCTCTGAAATCAATAAAAATATATTTATTTTTTAAAAAAAGATGTAATAAAAAAAGCCCAGAAAAAAAAATGTCCGAAAGTTCCTTTAGAGGAAGCACAGATGGTTCCATGCTGATGGAAAGATAGGATTTTACAATAAAGCGTGTGGTCAACATCCCAATGTGGGAGCCATTTGAGAGTTAAACACAGAGCCCTTATGAGAAGTAACAAGTTGGTAAAAACAAATATTGAATGTTATCTTCATAATTGCATTTGTGTTCCCAAATGCCTGCTTCCCTCTCCCCTTTTTGTGAGCGTGACTGTCAGTTGAAACAACCAAAGAATTCATTTGCTGGGAGGGCTTGTTGAGACATAATAGCATATGTACTTTAAAAGATAAATACCCAAGCCTTGGGAAGAACACTTGACAAGAAAAGGTTATTATTTACAGAAAGATGTATTTTAAACAGATGGCTCAACAAACTCAATTGGATATTAAAATGGAAATTGAATTTCTTAATTTCTATCAATGAGCCTATCAAAAACTTACACATCAAAAAACATACACACTACATTTTTTGTAGAACAGTTAATTCTCATTCATAAACTTTTATTGTCTTATAATTCAGCACAATTAAAAATAGCTTCTTCCTCTTTCATTGTACCTTATAGTCTTTCTCAAGTGTACCTTAAAATGAGTCTTTCTTTTCTTCTTGAAGGTAATCATCGGGGTCAGACCACTGCAAAAAGTCTGGTTTATTAAGCAAACAGGCTAGAAGTCACAGAGCTGATGTTAAAACACAAATATGCCTACTTACCTGGATGGCTCTGACATTGGAAACTGGCTGTTTCGACATATTCACGCAGTCTTATCCCTAAAAAAACAAGTAAGAAACTGTTAGAGGTGGCAGCATTCAGATTCTTGGTCTTGATAAATTAGAACTTAACTCATTATTCAACTGGGCAGTCACCCCTTTCACTGGCCATATATTCTTTCAGTCTCAGTTTCCGAAGTTACTTAGTGACTCTCCTTCCTAAAGCCTCAGGGAGAGGGAACACGAGAGCTCTGGATAAATCATTCAGGAGCAGAAATGCTGAGACGCCTCGGCCCTGATGCTAATGATAGGCTATCAGAAACTTGAAAGGCGCTATCATCTCCTTCCCTGCCCTCCTGCCCCCCCTGCCAAGAGCAGCAAAGCAAAGAGGCTGTGGGAATAAAACACCTTTGTTTGGGGCCTCGGGAGCTTTCTGCTTGAAACTGAACTTTTGATCTGAATTAGTTGTTGCCAGGGCTATGCGTCAGTCAAATGAGAGCGCCTCCTTTCTGTTGAACATCCAAAAAGAAATTGCCTGCACTTCGTTCTTACTACTGTGATGCTCTCTCTGCACGTGTCTGTTCTGCCCAGTGACCTGAGGAAGTAGGCCGCATCTCCCCCTGTGTGTACAGAGCCCAGCCTCACCTCTTTTCTTTTAACAAAACAGCCCAGAAGGCAAATAGAACTTACATGACCATGTCAGACCCCCAAGACGTAGTAGATTTTCCTTTCCAAAGGAGTTTTGCTTTCTTTCAGCTCCTGGGACCTGACTATGGTTTAGTGGTCACTATGGATTAATGGGCCAGGGGGGACAGGGAACAGCCCAGCTCTGTACCAGTGTTGTTGTCGCTTGGTCTATTAAATGTCAATGGAACCAAGTGAAAAAGTTAAAAACTCAGTGAATTAAAAGCATGCTGCTTTTTAAACCGAAACTATACAATGGGTTGACTGACGTTATTGATTGGTGTAAGTGTATGTGCTAACTGGTGAGGAAACGCACCCAGAGAGCAGTGTTGCCATTGGCCACAAATCCTGTGGTAACCTGCACTACGTCACCCAAAATCTCTGGGTCCATTTCCACTTCCTTACATTTTACCTGTTTCACAGGCTGTGGTAACAAACAAAATGACATGATGTTCCTGAAAATGCCTTGTGAACTATAAAGTCGGCATCTAATATCTGACCTCAAATATTTATTATTTTATTGTCATTGCCTATAGCTAGTGACATTTTAGGACTATAGTATACTAATCTACAGCTTTAGGCACAGCATAAGAATTGATGTAGTGATGCCCCTCAATACTTGAGAGCCGGGTGGGGAACCTCCTTTCTGCCAAGGGCCATTTGGATATTTATAACATCATTCGCCTAATGTAATTTATTTAATATAAATGTATGTTGCTATGAAAAAGCTCCTATATTTATTCAATTTCGAATCCCACCTGCAGTTGTCTTGTCAGGGCCAAACCAATTGATTTTGCCAGCCTTATATGGCCTGCGGGCCAGACATTCCCCCCCCCACCCCTCCACCCCCGGCTTTAGCAATAAAAGATCTGAGAATTCTAGGAAAACTTACATTTTTTAAGATCTTCAAAGTCTTAGTCTCTATTATATGAAGCAATATACTCACATAATTTTTCAATCTCTAAAATTAGTATATTCAACTATATAGTCTTTGGAGCCACACACATGAAAACAATGAGATTTTTTTTTTTTTAAGTTTCACCTGAATGTTTGGTTATTTAGAGAGATAGCCTCCATGCATAAGGGTCTAGGTAGAATTATTTTCAATTTGGTTAAAAAAATGGTAAAGCAACAACTAATTAAACAACCAGGAATGCATTTGGCTCTACTATATGCTTCGAATAGGTTGCTGTCTTTCCTGCAATGTCAAAGACTCAATGAAGGATTTTTAATTTTTGGATCTAGGACACAGCTCAATTTCAAAAGGAAAAGCATGGTAGTTTAATTTTTAATGTTTCTATTCTTCAAAAGCCATTAGAAGTCATGCAAAGCAATAATTTGCATAGGACTTTAATATCTCAGCCGATAGTATACTTTATGCATATACAACTAAATTTTAACTGATATCACTTGGGAACTTTTAAAAATGTCTTGATTTGAAGTGTGGGAATTGGGAATTTCTTTATGTGATTACAATAACAGGTTGAAATGTAAAATAATCAGGTAATGAATATGCTATTTTATACTGCATTGAATTTTTTAAAAATTAAGCTGATTTTGTTTTTATTTTCACTGAACTGTATTGATTTGTATTTTGTGGACCTCTAAGTTTAACAGATGGCTATCCCTTGCGCCTTATCGCCTGCATAACTGGTATAATCTCATCTGCATGCAAATTTCTTCTTAACATATATGCCTGCGATAGAGATAGCTCTGAAAAGTTGGTCAGATCCCAGCTCTAATTCCTTGCAAACAGGCTAGATACCATTTGTGTAAATCAGTTCTGCAGCCGCTCCTGCTGTCCTCATTATTCTCGGAGAAATCAGGGCAAAGCACACTGATGAATAAAAATAGACAGTGTTCCCTGGCTGTTTCCCTGGCCCTGCACTCACCTCTGTTAGGGATGCAGAGTGGAGAATACACCTTCCTTCTTTAGCTGCGTGCCTTGTCCGGGACCAAAAACACGAAAGCTCTCCCTTAGATGCGCAACTCCACTCACACTGGGGCCACTGCTTTTCATACAAAGAGGTACTCTTTATAGCACTCTGATATTGTATCTCCTGGTTCTGGCTACAATTTGGAAACACGGAAAGTTTGACAAGGCGGGTATTGTCTTTTGCAAAGCCTATATACTATAATGGAAATGCTTGCCAGTTTAGCACAGTTGAGTTTTCCTGGCAGTTCTGCAAAGCATTGAGGAACCTTTAATGGTCTGTATACCGAGTCATGTACAATACCTCTGCTGGTTTTTCATTGGGTAGCACCTAATATATGACTTCTAAACAAGGCTCTCACTAAAATTTTGTCAACATTAATATCACTAATTTAATAAGAGTGGATTCAGAGGAAAGTAAATCAATATTGCAAAGAAGGGATTTTGTTTGTTCTTTTAAAAGGTCAATTAAATGGCAAAAGTGAAATCCCAAAGGGAATTGTCTTCTGTCTCGCAGCTAAAAATAATTCGGAGAAGGGGGTAGAAAGATGGTCAGCTGTCTGAACTAACTCCTTATTCACTTTGCCTGAAATAATGCTGAGAGGGAAGAAGCACTTAGTGTTCCCACATTTCAGAACCTGGTGCCCACGAAGAGACAGGAGTGTTGACTCCTACCCTGCTGGGTACAGGAAACACTGTGACTAACGTGGGGCTTTCAAAGATGGGTCTGGAGTATTTATCGATCTATACGTTGATAGAATTCTGTCATTGAGGCCCAAGCCTGGCGCTTAGGGAGATGAGAAAAGCATTCTCAACTTGAACTGTGTAACAACTCTGGCAGTAATTTGCATTTAGGTAAACTAAAGAGCTAGCTTTTCTCTGCCCCAAATTCTGATAATTTCTAGGCTTACAGCCCAAATCAGTCTGCAGCTGGCCAACTGTAACCCTGGCCATAAGAATCAAAATGACATAATATTCAGGATCACAGTCATCAAACCCGGACCGTGGAAATTTACTTAATGTCACTATCAATACAAACTACTTTTAGTTCAATATTATTTCAACATCTCTCTCTCTCTCTCTCTCTCTCTCTCTCTCTCTCTCTCTCACACACACACACACACACACACACACACACACACACACACAATTTATAAAACAGAAGCAGCAATATCACCCATGAGCAGTGAATTTTCAAGGAAGCTACACACCCACTGGTTACAAGCCTACAAAGTTATAGTAGTCACTTCAAGTTAGGTATCAAGGAAATCTCCTTCAGAATGCTAGGCTGCCCAAGCTTCGTCCTTCTGCTTACCTGCTTTGTGTATTTGTTTACTGCCTAAGGAGAGTCCCAAGCAGCCAGGTGCAAGAATACAAGGCTCCTTAGAAGGTGAAAGGGATGCCTGGTGTCCTCTGAGCTGCGATCTCAATTCCGATGCTTTGCATGTGGCTGAAATAGCTCAAGTGCTCGGTGCCTCACCCGGGATTGAGAGCTGCTCCTGGCTCTGGGCTGGAGGGGAACTCGGTTTAAAGCTAAGTGTTAAAGAGAATTCCTGTCATAGCTCACAGTTGTTCTTCCTAAATATAGAGTTTGATACAAGCCATACGCTGGCTGCCTCCGAAAGGCTTGACCGTGCTGAAAGCAGGGCTCAAATGTCAGCCGGAAGGTGGCTACGGAATCTTACTGCCCTCCTAATCTTCCAGGAGATGCTGGCTGCATTTTCTCACGTATTCTGAGGGGGCACAGTGAAGTTTGAAAAGTAGGAAAAGTTTCTATCTTTAGCTTTATTACCTAGAGGCCAGAAGATGAGGAGGGTTCAATAAAAATAGGTGAGAGGCAACGTGGCACCCAGCTTTTCAGCAGGGGCACAGACATCTGAGAGTATTTGAGTCCTAGCTTGGTCATTTAGGACCTATTAAAGTTATTTCATAATCAGCACTCCATAAATGGTCACCAAATGATGATAATTATAATATTACGTTGAACTATAAGACATCACCCTTTTTGTAGGTCAAAAATGGTCACAGATCAACTGACTCATGTAGTTCCAGGGCCCCAGGTCCTTGCTCTCTGCTCTACCGCCTCTACTGGTAGCAATGACTTTGACCTTAGAGTACAGGAGATAACAGACAAAATAAAACAAAGAGGAAATATCGATTTTAAGTATGACAAAGGCCAGGGCCAGGTATGAGGCAAAACACTTTTTGTTAAATATATTTTTATTGATTTCAGAGAGGAAGAGAGAGATAGAAACATTGACAATAGAGAAACATCAGCAATCAGCTGCTTCCTGCATGCCCCACACTGGGGATGGAGCCTGCAACCTGGGAATGTTCCCTGACTGGAAATCAAACCTCGACGACCCTCTGGCTCATAGGTTGATGCTCAAATGGTTGGCCATGCCAGCCAGCAGGCAAAACACTTTATTAAACAGAACGTTGCCAGATCCTAAGGGACATGCTCCTTAATTTTATTTTAGTTTTTGTTTTCGGAGGTATTTTTATGGGGGGGCGCGGCCCTTGGGTTTATTATTTTTAACATTACTTAATTTTTCTTTTTTTGCTTCTTCAATCTCTGAAATTTCTTTTACATAGAACTTCCCTTCAGAAGAAAGGTTAGACAGAGTGGGCACATTTATAATTCATCCATTGGATGAAAATGACTCCATGTCTGAGTCCCTGACCCCATGGTCAAACACTGAACTCTCACCAGAAGCCATCTCCTACCAGTGCTCTCATGTGAAGAAAAGAAGTTCCAATTAGTATGAGAAAGTCAGGTTTCTGTTCCCTGCAGCTGAAATTGGAGCAATTGGCTTGTTTTCAAGTGGGTAAAAAGAATACCAGCTTTCCAATAGCTTAGGAGGTCGGTAGATAATTGTGGTTCATCTCAGTTTGGGATTCACCATTAAGTTCTATTCATGTGCTATTTAAAATAATCGTGTCTTTTCATATGCCGAAGCAATTTCTTCACTGATACAGCTCCTAGGGCACTTGAAACTAAAGAGAAAATGAACAAATGGGACTACATCAAAATAAAAAGCTTCTGCACAGCAAAAGAAACCATCAACAAAACAACAAGAAAACCCACTGCGTGGGAAAACATATTTGCCAATGTCATATCAGATAAGGGCCTAATCTCCAAAATTTATAGGGAACTCATACAACTTAACAAAAGGAAGATAAACAATCCAATCAAAAAATGGGCAAAGGATCTAAATAGACACCTCTCAAAAGAGGACATTCAGAAAGCCAAGAGACATATGAAAACATGCTCAAAGTCACTAATCATCCGAGAGATGCAAATCAAAACAACAATGAGGTACCATCTCACACCTGTCAGACTGGCTATCATCAACAAATCAACAAACGACAAGTGCTGGAGAGGATGTGGAGAAAAAGGAACACTTGTGCACTGCTGGTGGGAATGCAGACTTGTGCAGCCACTATGGAAGACAGTATGGAGTTTCCTCAAAAAACTAAAAATGGAACTCCCATTTGACCCTGTGATCCCTCTTCTAGGAATATACCCCAAGAAACCAGAAGCACCAATCAGAAAGGATATATGCACCCCTATGTTCATAGCAGCACAATTCACCATAGCTAAGATCTGGAAACAGCCTAAGTGCCCATCAGTAGATGAATGGATTAGAAAACTGTGGTACATCTACACTATGGAATACTATGCTGCTGTAAAAAAGAAGGAACTCTTGCCATTTGCAATGGCATGGATGGAACTGGAGAGCATTATGCTAAGTGAAATAAGCCAGTCAATGAAGGAGAAATACCACATGATCTCGCTCATTTATGGATAATAAAGACCATTATAAACTTATGAACAATAATAGATACAGAGGCAGAGCTGCCTCAAACAGATTGTCAAACTGCAGCGGGAAGGCCGGGGAGGGTTGGGGGGCAGGAGGGAGGGGGGTAAGAGATCAACCGAAGGACTTGTATGCATGCATATAAGCATAACCAATGGACATAAGACACTGGGAGGTAGGGGAGGCCAGGGGATTGTCAAGGGCGGGGGAGGGGGGGAAGGACACATATGTAATACCCTTTGTAATACTTTAAGCAATAAATTTTTTAAAAAAAGTTAAAGAAAAAATAATAAAATAAAATAATCGTGTCTTTAAAATTTTGTTTAGATAGTATGCTCTGAGATCATATGGCACCAAAAGTAAATTATTTTTATATTGGGGAAGATTATCTAATGAGTACCCTAATATTGCCCCAGATGGTTGGCTAATCCTATATGTTCAGAGCTCTTTACCAGACAATAGGTGACATCACTCCATGGACGAACAATCATAATGAGCCATGTCTGATTCCTTGCCCTGCACTCAGCCCATAAATTTCGACACAGTCCTTTTGTCCCCAACCATCCCTTAATAGCTACTGGTGTTGCACATTGTCAAGGAAAGTGTTCCTGGTGGCAATGCCTTGTACGTAAGGCTGGGCTGGCCCAACATGGGCATGGCTGCCTCTGTGGGAAGAACTAAGGTGAGCTGCAACGTGAACTAGTTTAAGCCAAGAGGAGGTGTGGCAAACGGTATTCATACCTTTCCCAAAATTGCCTCTGCCCACCTGAGCTCTACTGCAGCTGTAGACAGTTCTCAGAACACTGCCAGCTTCACAGCTCAAAAGCCTGAATCTCTCTGCTTCTCCGCACTGGTGCTCTCTCCATCTCCAAGGCAGTTTGCCTGGGCGGGCTGTAGGCAGGACCCATGAGTGCTGGGGAACAGACACCACTAGGGACAAACCTCTGTCAATGGGGATAAAAGTCCATGATAAAACCTCCATGTTCTCTGGTGGAATGATCCTGAGATATAGTCTACAGTGTCCCGGAGGCCCCATCAGTACTGAGCCCCAGTTGCCCACAGCAGGAACCTACTCATTATTACACTTTATTGGCTTTCACCTTTCCCTGTCTCACTTGTGTTCTCTGGGATCAGCACCCAAATAGAGCACCTGCAACCAAATCCTTGTCTCAGTGTCTGGATTTGAGGCAACCAAACCAAGACAAAGGGGTTTATAGGGAAAGTTTCATATTGTGGAAGGAAAGGCAGGGGTGCACAGGGGCCTCAGAAATAACTAGAACCAAGAACTCAGCCCTCACTAGAGAGTGACAAATAGATTGCCAAATTGATTTCTCCAACACCGGGTTTAAAAATATTGGAGTTCTGATTGCCCAGGGGATGGGTGGGCTGATGGGAGTGGGGCCAGCTGAGGGGGGCCAAAAGGGATGTGTGGGGGGGTTGGCCGGCTGCCCCACCCTCGATCTGGGTGGGAGAGGCCAATCGGGGGTGGGGCCAGCTAGGGGGGGAGGGACTGCGGGAGGTAGGCCAGTAGGCCCCCAACCCCTGATCGGCCAGTTTACTGGCCGCAGTGGGTGTCATAGCGAACAGTCGTTCCAGTCGTTACAGCGGTCCAATTGCTGGCTTTTTATAGAGAGAGATTATATTCCCTATGCTGTACTTACATCCCCATGACTATTCAGTAACTACCAATTTGTACTTCTAAATCCCTACACCTTTTCACCCAGTCCCCCAACCCCCTTCCCATCTGACAGCCATCAGTCTGTTCTCTGTATCTATGAGTCTGTTTCTGTTCTGCTTCTTCACATATAAGTGAAAGCATATGTCATTTGTCTTTGTCTGACTTATTTCACTCAGCACAATACCCTCTAGGTTCATCCATGTTGTTGCAGATGGCAACATTTCATTCTTTTTTTATGGTTGAGTCATATTCCATTATATATATATATACACCACTTCTTTTTTTTTTTTTAGGTGTAAAGCTATTCTTTTTTTTTTCTTTATTGATTAAGGTATTACAAATGTGTCCTTATTTCCCATTTCCCTCCCCCCCCCCACCCTTCTTCTTTATCCATTCATCTATTGATAGACACTTTGGTTGATTCCATATCTTAGCTGTTGTAAATAATGCTGCAAAAAACATGTGGATGCACTTATCTTTTTGTTTTAGTGTTTTGGGTTCCTTTGGGTAAATACCCAGAAGTGGAATTGCTTGGTCCTTCTTTGTTTTATAAGCTTTGTTTCCATTTTCATGAAATATCTTTTTTCCTTCCCTTTACATTCAATCTGTGTGTCTTTTAATCAGAAGTGAGTCTCTTGTAGATAGTATATTTAAGGGTCTTGTTTTGTTTTCCATTCAGTCACTGTATATCTTTTGGTTGGATTATTTAATCCATTTGCATCAAAAGTAATTGTTGATAGATATGTATTTATTGCCATTTTATTATTCATGTGTTTAATCTTTTTTTTCTTAAAGAAGACCATTTAACATTTATTTTAACATTTATTGATGGTGATAAACTCTAATACCTTTTATTGTCTGGGAAACTAGCTGTCCTTTGATTCTAAATGATAGCTTTGCTGGGTAAAATAATCTTGGTTGTAGGTCCTTGCTTTTCATCACTTTGAATATTTCTTACCAATTCCTTCTGACTTACAAAGTTGAGAAATTAGCTGACAGTCTTATGTGAACACCCTTGTAGGTAA